AATTTTAGATCTTTCCAGCTTTCTCTTGTGTGCATTTAGTGCTATAAATTTCTCTCTACACAGTGTCCCAGATATTCTGATATGTTGTGTCTTTGTTTTCATTAGTTTCAAAGAACATCTTTATTTCTACCTTCATTTCATTATTTACCCAGTGGTCATCCAGGAGCAGGTTGTTCATTTTCCATATAGTTGTGCGGTTATGAGTGAGTTTCTTAATCCTGAGTTCTAATTTGATTGTGCTGTGGTCTGAAAGACAGTTTGTTGTTATTTCTGTTCTTTTACATTTGCTGAGGAGTGCTTTACTTCTAACTATTTAGTCAATTTTGTAATAAGTGCAATGTGGTAGAGAGAAGAATGCATATTCTGTTGATTTTGGGTGGAGCGTTCTGTAAATGTCTTTTAGGTCTGCTTGGTATAGAACTGAGTTCAAGTCCTGGATATCCTTATTAACCTTCTCTCTCATTGAGCTGTCTAATATTGGCAGTGGCATGTTAATGTCTCCCATTATTATTGTGTGGGAGTCTAAGTCTCTTTCCAGGTCTCTAAGGACTTGCCTTATGAATCTGGGTGCTCCTGTATTGGGTGCATATATATTTAGGATAGTTGGCTCTTCTTGTTGAATCTGTCCGTTTACCATTATGTAATGGCTTTCTTTGTCCCCTTTGATCTTTGTTGGCTTAAAGTATGTTTTTTTCAGAGACTAGGATTGCAACCCTGCTTTTTTTTTATTTGCTTTCCATTTGCTTGGTAGATCTTCCTCCACCCCTTCATTTTGAGCGTATGTGTGTCTCTACACATTAGATGGGTCCCCTGAATATTGCATACTGATGGGTCTTGACTTTTCATCCAATTTGCCAGGAACGATCACCTAAAATTTGTTTTTAATGAGTGATAACAATGACTCAAGTTATTAAAACCTTCAGGATACAGTAGAAGCAGTGCTAACAGGAAAGTTTTTAGTATTAAATGCTTCCATCAAAAGACAGTGTGCTAAATCATTTTTGTATCACTATAAAGAAATACCTGAGGCTAGGTAATTGATTTTAAAAAGAATGTTAGTTGGCTTATGATTTTGCTGTCTGTACAGGAAGCATAGCATCCCATCTTCTCAGAATCTGCCCAGGTTCTGGCAAGGAATCAGAGAGCTTTTACTCTGATTGGCAGAAACCATTCCTAGGGGATCTATCCCCATGATCCAGTATCTCCCACAAGGTCTCATATCCAACACTGTGGTTACATTTCAACATGAGATTTGAAGGGGACAAACATCTGAATATCCCAAACATACAGAGACATCACAAACTAACACCTAATAGTACAGCTCAAGGAACTGAAGAAACAAGAACAAACAACCTAAAGCTAACAGAAAAAAAGAAACAATAAAGGTCAGAGTAGAATTAAACGAAATTGAAACCAAGAAGACAATACAGAGAATCAGTGAAATGAAAAGTTGATTTATTGAAAAGATAAACAAAATTGATGGACCACTAGTTAGAGTAAACAGGAAGAGACAAGATTCAATTAAGCTAAGTCAGATTTGAAAATGGAGTCATTACAACTGATGACACAAACATCATCTGTGACTAGTATGAACACCTATATGCACACACACTAGAAAATCTAAAGGAAATGGATAAATTCCTGAAAATGTATCATCCTCCAAGTTTGAATCAAGAACAAATAGAAATTCTAAACAGACTGATAAGTAGTGAGATTGAATGAGTAATAACAAATCTTCAGAAGAAAATAGCTCAAGACAGCATGGGTTTATGGCTAAATTCTATTAGACATTCAAATAATTGCTACTAATTCTAATGAAACTATTCTAAATGATCAAGAATGAGGGAAAACTTTTAAACACATCCTATAAAGCCAATATCACCCTGATACCAAGGCCAGGAAGGGACAAAACACAAAAATAAAACTCACTGATTAACTTAGATGTAAAAATCCTGTAAAAATTCTAACAAACCAAATCCAACAATACATCACAAACAAAGATCAGGTAGGTTCCATCCTAGGAATACATGGATAGTTCAGTACATACACAAGTCAATAAATGTGATTCATTACACAAACAATTTTTAAAAACCATGCAATTATCTCCTTATACGCAGAAAAATCGTTCATGACAATCCATCATCCTCTATAATAAAAAGTCTTCAACTAGGCATAGAAAAAACATCTCAAAATAATAAATGCCATATATGACAAACTCATGGCCAACATCATATTTGAATGAAGAAAAGTTGTTCCAGTCCTAAAAACTGGGACAAGACAGGAATGCCCACTTTTATCACTTCTATTCAGCACAATACTAAAAGACTTGGCCAAAACAATCGGACAAGAGAAAGAAAGGGCATCCAAATTAGAAAAGAGGAAGTCAATCTGTTGCCAAGTATATTATCTTACACCTCCAAATCCCTAAACACTACTCTAAGACTCCTAGATTTGGTCAATGAATTCAGTAATGTCCCAGGTTATAGAATCAATGTACATAAATTAGTAGCACTGCTGTACACCAACAACCAACCAAGCCGAGAATCAAATCAGGAACTCAATTTCACTTATAATAGCTACAAAAAATGAAATAAAATGAAATTCCTAGGAAATACTTAAACAAGGAGGTAAAATATCTCTACAAGGCAAACTACAAAGCACTGGTGAAGGAAATTTTAGATGACACAAACAAATGGAAAAGTATCCCATGCACTGGATTAAAATGTTCAATATTGTTAAAATGAGCATTCTGTCCAAAGCAATCTGTAGATTCAATGGAATTTATATGAAAATACCAATGCTACTTTTTACACAATTAGAAAAAAATTCCTAAAGTTAATGTGGAACCAACAAAAAGCCTGAATAGCCCAAGCAATCCTAGGCAAAAAGATCAAATCCAGAGACATCACATTACCCAATTCCAAGTTATACTGCAAGGCTATCGTAGCCAAAACAGCATGGTACTAGTATGAAAATAGGCATGTAACCCAATGGAAGAGTGGGGAACTCAGATATAAAACAAATACCTACCACCAGTGGATCTTGTACAAAACAGACAAAAAACATACACTGCTGGATAGACAATCTATTCAATAAATGGTACTGGGAAAACTGGAGAGCCACATTTGGAGGAATGAAACTAGATCCGTATCTCTCACAATATATAAAAATTAACTTAAGATGGACTAGCCTTTAATATTATTATAAATACCTTTGTTTTGACCCTATCAATATTTATTTATTTACTTATTTAATTTATTTATTTTTGAGATGGAGTCTTGCTCTGTTGCACAAGCTGGAGTGCAGTAGCACTATCACAGCTCACTGCAACCTCCACCTCCCCGGTTCAAGCAATTCTGTCTCAGTCTACCAGGTAGCTGGGACTACAGGTATGTACCACCATGCTCAGCTAATTTCTTTTTTTTTTTTTTTAAAGTAAGAGCAGATGGGGTTTCATTCTGTTAGCCAGGATGGTCTCGATCTCCTGACCTCATGAGCCGCCTGCCTTTGCCTTCCAAAGTGAGGAGATTGCAGGCATGAGTCAGCACACCAAGCTTCATTTTATTTATTAATAACCATTTAAAGATTTCTATCAACCTTCTGGAGCAAGTCCTTTGATTTTCTTTCACTTTCCAATTTCATTGTTATTGTTATTCATCTTAATGTTTTATTAAGCATCTGTAGGGAACAGGAGGTAGAGCAAATTTAATAAGGCTTCTTAAGTAGTTGTATGATTCGGCAGAAGTAATGTCACATGAGGTGCCCATGTAAAAGGCGCCTTCTTAACCCCAGCATTTAGCATGACATAGGTAATAGGTATATTCTGTGGAACCATATTCAGCCATCGTAAAGCCATCATATGGCTTGCATGTGAAGCATATTAACTTGCTCATTTGGGTTGCTCCACTTGACATTCTATTAGGGATAATTGAACAGTCCCCTTCTCAGGATCGATGAACCTTACAGTGGCATTTAACCAGTCCAGTAGGCTGGTTGTTCTCTTAGAATTAGACTCCTTTGCATCTGTGTCCCATATATTCATCAGTAATTTGTTAACTGGATTGTAGACATGAATCAAACCAAACAAGCTCTTTCATTCTGTAGCATTTAAAATTAAGGATACTGTTTTTAAAGTTATTTTTAAAATCCATTGTAGTAAAGGTTTTTCTTAAAGCTGATGATACCAATCTACAAAATGTAACAATTTCTTAAGATTATACTTTCTGATTTTAATGGTAGCTTAGTTTTGTCCTTCCCTCACATTGACTATATTTTTGGTAACTACAGGTTTCAGATGTAATTTTTTTTTGCCCTGGTTTAATTTTTCTTTCTATGAGTAGCTAAGAATCCACTCAGTATTTCTTTAGTCTCATCTTGGCTATTCTAAATAATAACCAAATAATCAAATTTTCACTTTTTCCTTATTAGTTTACATTTCCTTATGCATTCATTGCACCAATTCCTTGAGAGTAAGAGTATGATTCATCTCTTAATTCCACTGGTAAAATTTACCTTTAGTGACTGAAGGCAACCCAGCTGCAGTTGCACACTGTGAGTGATCACAGGGCCACCCAAGAGTCAACGTTTCTAAATTCCCACCCTTTTATTAGGTAGGAGCAATAGTAATTGTGGTTTTTGCCATGACTTTCATATGACAAAAAGCACAATTACTTTTACACCAAGCTAATATTTTTTTCTATATCCATTTGGTTTTATTTGTATAAATTTTAAATTTTAGAGTCATGTTTAAGGAGCCTCTAAACGATAAAAATGACATTTTCTTTAGAAAAAAACACTCATATTTTATAACCTTACTAAATATACATCTTGCTGTCCTACTATTCTAATTCTTAGTAACCCAGATTCCCAGTGAAAAACCTATGATTAATTATTTTAAATATAACATGACTTTAAAGATGTAAATTACTAGAGATAATAAAGAAAAATTTACCAACTTAATCTTACCAGAGGTTACCAAAGTCAACTGAACTAAAAGGCATTAATCAAGATAGCTTTTATCCATCTGATAAACAGTAACATTATTTAAAGCAATTAATTAGAGCTTTTTCTATAATTTGGTAGGGAAATATTCAACATAACATATATAAACATATAGGTAAAGAGACATATAGATAGCGAATTCTATAAGATTTTTATTTGCCTATTTTTAAAAATCTTTCTTACTTCAGACTGTTATTGTTATAAAATATTATAAGAGTAAACACAAGGTAAAGGAGAAAAGTTACTATCCTAGGCCTTTTCAAATGAGAGAAAAACCTGAAGAAGCAGGGTACAGAAGTCAAACTTCTGAGATATTGATACAGGAGCTAAAAATATTATTTAGACAGATCATTAGGGCAACAGAGTCTTCAGCAAGGTTTCCCTTTTAACAAAAATTGACCCCCAAATAATTCCTTTTCTAACAAACAGCATCCTGAAAAGTCAAGCTGAAGATGTAGATAAGCAAGCTGGAAGCTTGCACAGATGAATACCTGCAGCTGTGCCAATAGAAAAAGGCTACCTGAGAGCGAGGTATGTTCAACATGGAGACTTCATTGACCCTTTTCTTTGTCACCATGTGTACAGTAAAAAAGTAGACAACATGGCAGAGAAGTAATCTCCATATTAAAAGATTAGGGTTGGACTGGCCAGCTTCCTCATATGTTATGCAAATTGTGAACCTTGTTCGACCAATCTTTCACACCTTATGTCTGACAACTCCTCAAGGTAGTCTATAAAACTCTGTGCAATTTCACCACAGAACTGGAAACCCATTTTCTCTGGGACCTTTCTCTCTGCAGCAGAGAGACCTTTTCTCTTTCTTTCGCCTATTAAACTTCAGCTCTGAACCTCACCTTAATGTGCCCATGTATTAGTTTTCCATGGCTATGAGACAACAAACCTGAGCTATTACCCAAGATGAATGACACTGCTTCAATATTAATCTGAAAAATTTCATAAAGAAACAGATTATAGAATTTAAAAATTAAAAACGTATTTCCTTGAGAGACCAAATGCCTTTGGCCAGGTACAGTGGCTCACCCCTGTAATGCTAGCACTTTGGAAGGCCAGGAAGTTGGATTGCCTGAGCTCAGTCAGTTGAGACCAGCCAGGACAAGCTGGCCAGTCCAACCCTGTCTCTACCAGCCTGAGAGGGAGAGATTGTAGTGAGCCAAGATCACACCAATGCACTCTAGCCTCACCAACAGAGTGAAACTCTGTCCCAGAAAACAAGCAAGTAAGCAGGGAAACAGATGTCAAATATTTTTAATACAATCTTGTTCTAACCAATTATTTTATTTGTATTGTGTATTTTTAATATCAATGTCATTTTTAGATTATTACTTTTTATATTTTATTATAGCTAACTTAATCATGTGTCTGTTTTATAAATTCAATTTTTAATAGCATTTTATGACTTACACAAACAATTCACAACATGCATGGACTTTTGGGTTTGTCCTGAACATCCCTCTTTAACAGCCATTTTATTTTAGTGAAAAAATTTGCCATACAAGACTATTCCTTCTTATAATTATTTTTCTTTTAACCTGTCTTACCAAAAATACCTCCCCATATCTACACCTTTATTTCTATTTTATTTCTTGTTACTTTTACTTCATTTCATACCGAACCTTAGAATTAGACAAAATTATTTACCTTTTAATAAGAACATATTTTTAGAAGTAATGTTTTTCTGTAATTTTTAATTGAAAATTACCCAGATATTTAGTTAAATATCTGTGATTTATTTTTTATTTTTTATTTTTTATTTTTTTTTTGAGACGGAGTCTCGCTCTGTCACCCAGGCTGGAGTGCTGTGGCCGGATCTCAGCTCACTGCAAGCTCCGCCTCCCGGGTTCATGCCATTCTCCTGCCTCAGCCTCCTGAGTAGCTGGGACTACAGGCGCCCGCCACCTCACCCGGCTAGTTTTTTGTATTTTTTAGTAGAGACAGGGTTTCACCGTGTTAGCCAGGATGGTCTCGATCTCCTGATCTCGTGATCCGCCCGTCTCGGGCTCCCAAAGTGCTGGGATTACAGGCTTGAGCCACCGCGCCCGGCCAAATATCTGTGATTTAACATTACTTTGGGTTCTAAATTATGATATTTAGAAGCATTTATTCCATAACATTTACCTAATTATTATATTCTAATAGTTTTCTTAGATTATTTATGACAACTATGATAGTCATCATTTAACATTATTTCCCTATCAATCATTTTTATAGCCTGTGAATTTCAGGTCTTTATTTGTAAACATCTGTGTAAAATATATGGCTATTTTTACCAATAACTCAAGATTTAGTTTTTTCCAATAAACTAACAATATTAAATGTTTTATCAAAAATTACATAAGCCATCGGGCCTGGCAGCTAATGCCTGTAATCTAAGAACTATGGGAACAGAGGTTGTAGTGAGCCAAGAATGCACCACAGCATTCCAGTTTGGGCAACAAAGTGAGACTGTTTCAAAACAAAACAAAGAAAAACAAAAAGAAAAATTACACAAGCAAAGACTGTTCTGTTTTGGACTGGGTTTATAGTTTTATAACACTTTGCCAAATTTATACACCGTACAATATTTGACAAGAATAGATATAAAATAACTCTATTAAAAATGAAAAAAATGCTGACAATTCTTAAGACATTTCTATTATTACTTTACCAGTAATTTTAAAACCAACTATTTATCAGAATTTTCTGAAGCCATACGTACTGAGATGTGTTTGGGCTTGTTATTTACTACATATATAAGTACTCCTTCAATTAAGCAAATTTGTTAACTTGCAGTCACTAAGAACCTAACAGAATACATGTATGTACATGTAAACACACATGAATATCCATAGAAACTCATAGAAAAATCCTACAGCTTTTATTTCAGAACTCTCATCACGAGATGCCACAAACTTATCAGTTACCAAAAGAAGTTTAAAACAAATAGTGGGATTTTCCTTTTATCTCAACATTAGTACAAAAGCAACAGCAGACTTCAGCAGAAGAGAAAGCAGAGAGATAGACACAGAACTTAGAACCTTTCTGGTGGCAGGTTGACCTTCAGGCTCTGAATTTTCCTTGGTGTAATTTTCCCATAAGTTTAAAATGTGCACAAGAGCAGACCTAATATGTAGGCAGCTGGAGTGCTAGAAACCCTTGAAGGTTCTCCTATTTACATCACCATTTGGAGGTAGAGGTGCCATAAAACCAAAAAGGGTGCCAGAAAGGGAGTCATTCTTCAGGTCTTTTCTCATCCTTAATTGGTTTTCCACTTTTCTTCTTAAAAAGAAGAACCGAGTTGTGTTGTAGGGCTTAGTGTGAAGGGTCCAAGTTTGCTGGTTGTGGGTGTGACTCAATAGTGTGTCACGACTGAGTCATTCCCACTTGCTTACATATCTCTGCCTATCTATCAAGAGTTCTAGCACCTCCAAGACAGTCCAAAGCATATAATGATCAGCTCCCTATCTGTGCATCCTGGATGAGACTTTTAAATTAAGTTGTTGATAGTTCCCTGTAGGGCCATTGCATATCACTGGAGTTCAAACCCACAGACACTCCATCAATACCTTCAGTCACCAAGGGGTGCCTTTCAGCGGGGAGAAGCAAATTCCCTTGCTCTTCAGAGCTGAGGAAACTCAGTCTCTCATTTGCCTATGAAAACAACAGTTCAGCTCCTTACCCTAATATGCTCACACAAGTCAAATTGAGTTGAATTTTGGAAGGAAAGGCAATAGAGAAGACTCTTTAGAAGGCACTTCTGAGCTAGAATTGGGATTCTAAACAATAACTTCCCGAGAGGGGAAAAAAAAAACGTTCGACTACTTTCTGTAAACTCTCCTCAGTCACTCCTAACTTTGTAGCTCTTGTCTGCCATTACACATGCCGAGGCCAAATCCTCTCACAGTAAAAGGTAATCTCTTCAACCCCCAAAGCCAAAGAGACCAGGCAATGTAATACAAGAAAGCAGAGCTTTAGACTTAAGAAGAATCTCCCCATGACTCTTGAAACTTCACCAACATCACCCCAAAAGAGGGGTAAGGGGAGTATTTGTTCAGAGTTTTTTGAGGGATTTGAGGTGCTAGAAGACTTCTCTAAATTTCTCATTTCTCTTAGTATCAAAGATGGCAAAAAGGAAAGGAAGGGAGAAATAACGTGAAAGAAAAGTAAACAAAAAAGCAATTCTTTTGTGAGACAAGAAGCAAACACAGAGGGTCTAATTGTCTCCCTGACTTTCAGTTCACCATCACTGGGCCTTGTCATGGCTGCAAACATCCCCCAAGGGGCTTATCTCCTTGCTACTATTTTCTGGTGATCTCAATTAAAATCAAGATGCAGCATATACTTCTCAAAATCTTTCAATGGATATAGTGGCAGATCATGGTGGACAAGAGACAGGACAGCACTATATTACAGCTCCCTCTCTGGCAGATAGAGCAGTGTGTGGAGCCTCACGTCATGAATTTTTGCTCCAGAATGACCACAGAAATAATTCAGAAAACCTGGGAGGACCCATAGACCCTCCGAAGGAAGCTGATTTCTCCCATACGACCTGGGAGACACTGAGAATACTGTGAGTGCCCAAATTGTGGAAGTAAGAAAGTGATATTATCCATCTCCAAACACACATCCCTACTGGAAAAACAAAGTCTAGATTATAAGAGACAATTCAGACCTTACCTGGAACTGAGTCAATTTAGAAAGCAAAGCAAAATACAGGGGTAGAGGAAGCAGTGGGAAAAGCCCATGAGTCCCCTAACAAACAATTTCTTCCTGGCATCAATGGAGTCCTTTGAGGGGATGGCCAGAGCCACTGGGAAAAGGACACAGGGAGAAAAAAATGTGCAGCTGAACTGTGTAGCAATTTGAACTAATCCAGAAATCTCCTTGTCAGAACTCGGAGGAGGATGTGAATGTTGTGTGCAGACTCCACAGGCAGGGGAAGAAGGAAAGCAATAATTGCTTTCATAGCTGGGAGGTGGGTAGCCTGGAACAAGTTCTCAGCCCTACTTGCCCACTGCCTGGAAACAGTCTTGGTGATATTGGGGGAGGCATAGTGGGAATGAGAGTGGTCCTTTAGATTGCCTGGGAACTGGTTGAGGCTTGTGACTGCCACTTTTCCCTGACTTTCTTGACAATCTGCATGAAAAAGTAGAGACAGCCATGATCCTTCTAGAAATATAACTCCATTCACCTGGGAATTCACCCCATCACTCACTGCAGCAGCAGCAAGACCCACCCAAGGAGAATCTCAACTCAGACACATCTAGTTCTGCCCTCACCCAGTGGTCCTTGCTTACCCATCCTGTTAACAGAGGAAGAAGGGCATATACTTTAAATATCTAGAGCCCCAAACACCACCTGTTACTACCCATACTACCACAGCTGATGCTTTCTGCAAAGGACCCCCTCCAGGCAGGAGGTCAATCAGCATAAAAATAATGTATTAAACTACCGAAGCTAAGAACCATCACAGCTTAAACTACTAAAGCTAAAAACCCTCTAACCCCTGTTACCTTTGCTGAAACAAGTGCTGG